TAGAAGCAAGATTTAATCTCAAATCCTCTGAAATAAAACCCTCTGTTCTGTATTAATTTTTAAATAGATATTCTAATGTCTTTGATTTTAAAAAAAATCATCATACAATGTCACAGTCACATCACATAAATGTCAGAATTTGTAAGTTTATAGATAGATAAATGGATAGATAGAGTATTTATTAAATGCTCAGTCTGTGCCAGACACTGTGGTATGTTCTGGGATATAGATATAAGCAAACAAGATAGTCTCTACCCTCAGAGGACTTGCATTCCAATGGGGAAAGACAGCATATAAACAGAGCTGGAACAGGGAGGAGCTATGGTTGGTAGGAGGGAACCTGAGAGGGGGCAAGGTAGATGAGGAGGAGGTAGAGAAATCCAGAGAGAGTCAAGCCAGGAGTGATGTGACCATGGCTAGTGCCCTTCATACAATGGTGGTCTGGGCTAGGGAGTCTCCAATCAGGAGAATGGACCTTAGGGTAGAGGTTTCTCCAGGGCTGGGGAAGTGGTGGGGAAGGAGGTGGAGAACTTGGGAGAGTGAGTCAACCAGGAGGCAATACTGTATACTCGGACGAGAAATGAAATGGCTAATCGGTGGAAACTCAGAAAGATTGATGTGGAAATAAAGATATGTTCCTATGTGTCAGGAAACTCACTTGTTTAATGTCTGCTTCTGAGGCGGTATATACAGAACAGGATAGCTTGTTTGAGCTTCTAGTCAGCCTTCGTTAGACTATCCAGGGCACTCTGAGAGTTGAGTCTAACTAAAGGTTTGTGTGGGGAACTTGGAGGGCATTCAGAGGACACGATGATAAAACATGACTCTCCCGGCAACAGGGTGCACACCCAGTCTACACAAACTTTGAAAGTTTGTGAGTTTGGTGAAGGATTTCTTCTTTCTTATCACCCCAATCCGATAAAATGGAATACCATCTTGTGGCCGCTGCATTGGCTTAGAATGCAAGCTGAAACAGAAAAGGTCCCGGTGGGAAGGAAGAAGGAAGTGGCATTTCTCCTTTGGATGTTGCAGGACTGTGCAATTTCCAGTGTGGAGAGAGAAGTTAAGTGACTTAAAGGGGATTGAAAATAATAGCAACAGGCTTATTTAGTTAAGTGAAAGCGCAAAGGCTGAATAATAAACCTTCTTAGATTTGAAAATACCATGAAATTAAAACAAGTTATCGGCTCTTCTCTGTGACAACTTAGAGCAAGACACAAAGAAATGAATTTAAGCTGTATCATCAGGGATTTAAGTTGAATATAAGGAAGAGTTACTGTTGGTAAGGGTTATTAAATTCTTGTAAGAGTTACAAAAAGACCCAGGTTGAAGTGCCACCTCTGGCATATATTAGTTATGTATTTCTAGGTAAGTCATTAGTGCCCTTAGCAACTGTCTAAAACTAATTTAGCCAGGAGTGTAGACAAGTTGATGATATATATTGGTGAAGTAAGTTACCACAATGGAAATTCCCTATACTGATTAAATCTGAGGTCCATACCTCTGTTGCTGTGTACTTTCACTCATGTCTGATTCTTTGTGACCTCATTTGCGGTTCTTGGCAGATACTGGAGCCGTTTACCATTTCCTTCTCCAGCTCATTTTACAGATGAGGGTTTGACTTTGACTTTCCCAGGGTCACACAGCTAATAAATGTCTGAGGCCAGATTTGAACTTAGTAATATGAGTCTTCCTGACTTTAGGCTCAGCACCCTATCCACTGCACTACCTAGCTGCCATACCTCTTACCCAATCAAAGAAAACCAAGGTAAAACAAAATAAGACAAAAGAAAATAAGATTTCTAACAGAAATTGTTAAGTGAATGTCTTTAAAACCAGACAAGACTTTTCTTCAATTAAAAATACATTTTATTGTTAACATTTTTTTAATATCTCCTAGATTTCTACCTCTCTCCCTCCTTCTTTCCTTTCCTCACAGAGAACCATCTCTTGTAACAAATATTTTTTAAGAAAAAAGAGTAAGGGAAAAAATCAGCAAAACCAGGTGATACATCTAAAAACACCTGACTTGATGTGTAATGTTCTACACCTGTGAACCCCTTAGTTATTTCTTCAGGAGAATTGGGAGAGATATGTAGAAGTTCTTCTGTACCTGACAGAATGAAGGTATGTTATTATTTGGAATCAAAGAAATGAACTACATAACCTTCAATATCTTGGACTTTCCCTGGCCCAAGATCTTATGGGTCTATTCTGATTTTAATGACCCCAAGTCTCTCTTATTCAAGTACCCAAAACAATAACATCTTCCCACATCTGAGATTCTGACTTCCTATGTATTGTGCAAGATATTATTTGCATCCTCCAAGAATATAAGGGCTCAGTTACAAAAATTTCCACTCTGAGAAGCCTCTTGTCTAGCAAATTGTCTGTAGTTTTAGGTAGTGTTGATCTAAAAGGTGATTTCTTTTTTTCTTTTTTTGAATAATATTTTTCCCAAATACATATAAAAACAATTTTTAAGATTCATTTTTTTTAAATTTTGAGTTCCAAATTATCTTCCTCCCTCCCCTCTCTGAGATGGTAAGCAATCTGATATTGGTTATACGTGTGCAATCATGCAAATCATGTTTCTGTATTAGTCATGTTGCGGAAGACCATACAGACCAAAAAAAAAAACCCACAAAAAAAAATAAAGTGAAAAATAGTATGCTTCCATCTGCATTCAGACTCCATCAGTTCTTTCTCTGGAAGTAGATAGCATTTTTCATCACTGAGTCCTTTGGAATTGTCTTGGATTTTTGTGTTGCTGAGAATAGCCAAATCATTCACAGTTGATCACCTTACAATATTGATGTTACTATAAACAGTGTTCCCCTGGCTCTGCTCACTTCTCTTTGCGTCAGTTCACGTAAGTCTTTCCTGAAATCGTTCCCTTTGTCATTTCTTATAGCACAATAGTATTCAATTACAATCATATACCACAACTTGTACAGTCATTCCCCAATTGATGGACATCCCTTTAATTTCCAATTTTTTTTTGCCACCACAAAAAGAGCTGTTATAAATACTATACAAATAAGTCCTTTTCCCTTTTTTTGATCTCTTTGGGACACAAACCTAATAGTGGTATTTCTGAATCAAAGAGTATAGTTCCAAATTGCTCTTCAGAATGGTTGGATTAGTTCACAACCCCACCAACAGTGCAATAGTGTCCCAATTTTCTGACATACCCTCTAACATTTATCATTTTACATTTCTGTTATATTAGCCAATCTGATAGGTGTGAGGTGATACTTCAGAGCTGTTTTAATTTGCATTTCTCTAATCAATAGTGATTTAGAGCATTTTTCATATGACTATAGATAGCTTTGATTTCTTCATCTGAAAACTGCCTGTTTATATCCTTTGACCCTTTATCATTTGGGGAAAGACTTGTATTCTTATAAATTTGACTCTATATATTTGAGAAATGAGGCCTTTATCAGAGACACTTGATATAAAAAAAATTTCCCTGGCTTTCTGCTTTCCTTCTAATCGTGGTTATGCTGGTTTTGTTTGTGCAAAAACTTTTAGATTTAATATAATCAAAAATATCCATTTTACATCTTGTAATGCTCTTTATCTCTTATTTGATCATAAATTCTTTCCTTCTCCATAGATCTGACAGGTAAATTATTCCATGCTCCCCTAATTTGCCTATGGTATTACCCTTTTACGTCTAAATCATGTACCCATTTTGACCTTATCTTGGTACGCTGTGTGAGATGTTGGTCTATACCTACTTTCTGCCATACTGTTTTCCAGTTTTACCAGAACTTTTTGTCAAATAGTGAGTTCTTGTTCCAAAAGCTTGGCTCTTAGGGCTTATCAAACACTGGGTTACCATGGTCATCGACTACTGTGTATTGTATACCTAAGCTATTCCTCTAATCTACCATTTTATTTCTTCAGAAGGTGATTTCTATGACAGGACCTCTATGCAGTCCTGTACAGTAGGGATATAACACTAACCTCTAAGAAGTGTTCTTAATACAGAAGAGTTTCCCTGTATCCATTCCACCCCAGTCCCCTGTTCCAGCATGCTTATTCCTTATGATACTTCAGGCTTCACTTTGTGACTAAAGGCCAAGATGAGGTAAACTCAGTGAATAGTTTCTTGAAGAGGGACTGTAGGGGCCTTTGGGGGGGTCCTCTGATATTCTATTGAAGACTCAAGAAATATTAAATGTCTACTACATGAGGTAGGCTTTGGGAGAAGGTGAGGCAAGGATACAGAGAAGTATAGCCTTCAGTCTTTACCTTCAAAGAGTTTGGGGACAGCTAGTTGTTCTCTGTAATATAAGAATTCAGAAGGGATGCTCTCTTAGGACTGAGCGGTTAAGGATGTGCCCTTAAGGTAGTGGAATTTGAGCTGAGTCTTGAAGTTTAGATAGAATTTGGATGGTCAGGAGAGAAGAGAGGGTTTTTCAGTCAAGAGAAATGGTTCAAGCCTAAAGCTGCTGCTGTCCTCCAACATTTTCCATTCTTGAATATGGCAGAACCATAACTAGCAACACTGGTGCCCAAAACAAGAAATACTAAATGTATCCTCAAATCAACTGGTAGAGGTAGGGAGACACATATCCTGACACATCCATGTTGGGGAAGGTTAAAGATCTTAAGTTATCAGCAGGCTGAGTTAGGGAGCTCACTTGGTATACATTTGTATACTCTCAATATTTCAGGATCCTAGGGTAAAGCACAGGTTACCTAGCCGTACTTATGACTTTGGCTGCAAGGATGACCCCTTTCCCAAAAGATCAAAAGCCTGAGAGATGGTGGTAATCCTAGTATTAGCATGGTGCTTATGACTCCTGATACTCTTCATCAGAGATAAGTTTATTCTGCAGAATGTAAATTCTATGTGTGAAAATTTTCTGTTAGGTAAGTGTAAACTATGGGAAAGTCTGATAAACATTTTTGTAGATAGGTAAATTTTTGGAAGACCCCTAAAAGTCTACTTCAATCTTAGCTGATAATGCCCTTCTATTTTCTAGGCTAGACGACAAAATTGCTGGAAATTCTTCAATGAACCTGTGAAGAGGAAGTATAAACTGTGGATGGCAATTGTTTCTATCTTCATAGGCCTCATTGTAGTAATTTTTATAAGCTTGATTATCCATGAAGGTAAGAATCTAAAAAAAAAGATAATTTGATTCATATATGTATAGAGATGTATCTATATCCATACATATACTATGTATATGTGTATTCTTGAGTCTGTGTATGTATATATATATATAATTCTTACTCATCTAGGTTGGGTTGTCTTATGTTTTTTCAATGGCCTTGAAAAGGAGCTCATGATTACATAATGTGGATATGGAAGTGGTTTGGAAATTAGAGGCTTGACAAATTTATTGAGCCATTCCCCAATTGATAAATGGTTAAAGGACATGAATAGACAGTTTTCAGAATAAGAAATCAAAGCTTTCAATGATCATATAAAATGCTCTAAATTACTAATAGAGAATGTGAATTAAAATACCTCTGAGGTACTACCTCACATACATCAGATTGGCTAATATGAAAGAAAAGGAAAATGACAAATGTTGTAATGGATATGGAAAAATAGGGACACTAAGCTGTTGGTGGAGTTGTGAACTTCTCCAACCATTCTGGGAATAATTTGGAACTATGCCCAAAGGGCTATAAAACTATGTATAGCTTTTGACACAGAAATATCACAACTGGGTTTTTACCCCCAAAGAGATAAAAAAAAAAGGAAAAGGACCCATATATACAAAAATATTTATAGCAGCTCTTTCTGTGGTGGCAAAGAAATGGGAAAGTGAAAGGATACCTGTCAAATGGGGGATGACTGAACTAGATATGGTATATGAATATTCATGGAATACTATTGTGCTGTGAGAAATGGCAAAGGGAATGGTTTCAGGAAAAACTTGGAAAGACTTATATGAATTAATGCAAAATGAAGTGAGCAGAACTAGGTGAACGTGTATATGGTAACAGCAATATTGTAATGATGACCAGCTATGAAAGACTTAGTTACTCTGATCAATATAATAATCCACAAAAAATCCAAAGGACTGTGAAAAATGTTATCCATCTCTAGAGAGGTAACTGCTGAACTGTGAATGAAGACTGAAGCATAATTTTTCCACTTTATTTTTCTTTCTTTTTTTTTCACAACACGACTAATGTGAAAATATGTTTTGCATGATTTCATATGTATAATGGGTATGGTATTTCTTGTGTTCTCAATAGGTGGGGGAGGGAATAGAGGAAAGAAGAGAATTTAGAACAGGAAATAAAAATTTAAAAATGAAGAACACAGTATGCCATGGGGAGGGGATAGTGGGAGGAAAGGCAGTTAGGGACTTGGCATCATCATGTAGAATATGTTTGAGTGATTGGTTTATTTGAGCATCAGAGAAAGAGTCAGAAATTCTCCTGTTGCAACCTTTGTGTAACCTGGAAAATGTCACTTAAGCTTTCTGAAATTATTTCCTCATCTGTACAATCACGATGATATCATCTGTCCTGCCTCCTTCATAGGGTAGTTGAGAGGTTAAGATTATGTAACAGGTGAAACCATTTTGAAAACTGCAAAACTATAAAAACCAAGAAATTAAAAAGATAAGAAAGATGGGGGTGGTGAATAAATGCATATCAAATCATTAATCAATTTAATATCAATGTAGAAAGGAATAAAGACTTTTTGTAGGGAGTAACAAAAACATTCTGCTTTTCCTTAGGGATCTAATAGCTGTTTTCAGACATTCAAAGGGTCCTCATGAGGAAGAGGATCCAATTTGTTATGTTTAACCCCAGAGGTCGGAGCTAGAGTAATGAGCAAAAGTTGCAGAAAGGCAAATTTTGGTTTGATTTCAGGAAAAACCTCCTAACAATTGAAGCTGTCTGAAAGTAGAATGGGATGTACCTGGAATTGGAGTCCCCTTCCAGGAATCTTCAGGTTGAAGCTAGGTAGCTACTGGTTAGGCAGGTCAAGGTGAAGCCGGTTGGATGGTTGCTGAGTTCTATTCCAACTCAAAAAAGTGTTGTGATGTCCTAAGAATCACTGACCTTCCCTAGGAATCACAATGCATTTCAATCAATCAATCAGCATTTTTTTTTTAAAAAAAAAGTTTACTACGTACCATTTTGCCTCACGTAGTTGAACTACAGCTCTGGGGGGAAAAAGGCTTTGAAAGAGCCTGTGGTAATTCAAATGGAGCTACTACATGCCTTTAAATCCAAATCACTCTGGCTCTCCCTAATTGGCCAATAATAGGTCCCAGCCCAAGCCTCATTTGCTTACTCCTCGAATGGCTCAGAGTGAGTCAAATAGCAATTGTTTTCTGTTCTGGCCAGAACCTCTAAGGGTCTTCCCCTCCCAGATTGTTGTTTCTTTTGGGAAAGCAAAGGAGGCTGTCTTTTGTCTCAATTCTAACCTAACCTTTAATCACTGAATGGGTGTTACCTCAGACAAACTGGAGACCTAGATAGACCTTAGTTTAAAAAGACTAAGGTCTTCCGCTGCATTCTGACCCATGTCTAGTCATCTTGATTCATATTTTGCCACCGGACTCCAGTGACTCCAGAGGAGAGAGAGAGGCCAATGACTGCACTGCTCTGCCTCACTTAAATCCAATTCACTTGCAAGTCAATACATCACCTTCCCGGCGTCATTGGTCCTCTTTATTTTGTATTTGGTACCATGCTAAGCGCTGGAAGTACAAAGAAAAAGCAAAAACAATCCCTGCCTTCTAGGACCCTGCATTCTAATGGGAGAGTCTATGTATGCATATGTAACTAAACAAGATCCAAACATATAGGGATGCACTGAGAGTAGGGAGCCAACCTTTACATTTTCAGTGCAATGATTTACACCTCAAAAATCACAGCTACAAATCAGGACTTGATTTATTGTTTTGTTGATTGTCTAGCCTAAAAAAAGTGATGGAGAAAATGTTAATAATACTGTTCATTGTGTATTGTGTATTATGTACACACACACACACACACACACACACACACACACATATTCCCCCCACCCCTTTTTGAGAGCTGGTTGCCAGACACTGAATAGCACATGCCTGCATATATACTTTGTATACTAGAGGGGAAGGTATTAGTAGTTGGGGAACTGGGAAAGAACTTCTGCAGACAATAGCCTTTGAGCTAAGTCTTGAAGGAAGGTAGGGAATTCTAAGAGACTGGAGGTGAGGAAGAAGAGCGTTCCAGGCATTGGAGAGAGGGTGCAACAGCATGGAGATTATAGGAAGAGCTCCATGTAGAAGAATGGCATGTAGGCTAATATGGCTGGACCCAAAAGTAGGTGGAGGTGAGTAATGTGCAGTTTCCAAAAGTCTTAGTGTAGTTTTCAGCAATTAAAGTTTGAAGTTAAAACTGTACCAAGGGGCAGCTAGGTGGCGCAGCGGATAGAGCACCAGCTCTGGAGTCAGGAGGACTTGAGTTCAAATGCAGCCTCAGACATGTAACACTCACTAGCTGTATGACTCTGGGTAAGTCACTTAATTTCAATTGCCTCACCAAAAACAAAACAAAACAAAACAAAACAAAACTGTACCAAGATTTTTGGAATATCTTATATAAGAAAGATAAGAAGGGGGCAATTCTGTAAATGTCAAACAGAGTAGTTTATTTTTTATCCTAGAGGTAATAGGGAGCCACTGAAGTTAATTGAATGAGGAAATGATAGGAATAATATGGTCAGATTTGTCGTTTAGGAAAATTACTTTGAAGCGTGTAGAGGATAAATTGGAGTAGGCAGAGATGTGAGGCACTTGCTTGTCTTCTTCAGATACTCCTAAAAAGCATAAGAAAATAAAGAGAGGAAACATGGTAGTCTTGGGATGGTCTGGAGAGTCTCACTGGCCTCTTGTTTTGAAGATCCATTTATTTTTATGTGGTTGAATGTTCAGTCCATTTAGGGAAACATCTGTGTAGCATATCTCTACTTTATGTAAGAGACAATTATTTTCTTGCCTCAAAATAAATCCTCCCCAGTCTATGTAAGGGATAGAATCGATCATGTCACTGCAGAGTATTAACACTGTATAATTCAAAGTGTAGGCAGATATTGAATACAAATGATCTGATGATGTCACACGTTCCAAACTGTGCTCCCTTCCTCACCCCAGAGAATGGTTTGGGGATTTTATTTTTTATGACGTGTTTAAGTGATACTATGAGAAATAGATCTGTTTTCTTTTTGAAGAGGGAGTGAGTCTCAGAAGATAGCTTATGACATCACACTTTATTAGTAGACAGACAAGTTTCACAAGTCTAAAAGTCCTAGTATAGGGTGACTCATGGGAAAAATTCTAGTCTGTTGGCAGAGGTTGATGCCAGATTGCTAAGATGTTGGATAACTGGGACTAGGTCTTATAGTTTTGTAGCTTCCATAGCCCCCAGCACAATACCTCACATATTGTAGATGTTTCTGTAGCCATGCCTATTGCATTACCTCAGGGAATCAGGTTATCCTTCTCTGAGGGCCTTTGTCAACCTTAGCGCTATATAAACGAGTAATGATTTTTACTCATCCTCACCATTCAATAATATTATGCAGCTTTCTTCTTTCCCTCCTGTTGCAGGGAAGCTGGGTCTCCTTTCCAAGGCTAATCCCTACCCCAACTTCTCCTGGACCATGTTCTACCATCTTAACAGTTATCCCCCTCTCACTACTCCATTCCTTCCTTCCTTCCTTCCTTCCTTCCTTCCTTCCTTCCTTCCTTCCTTCCTTCCTTCCTTCCCTCCTTCCCTCCTTCCTTCCTTCCCTCCTTCCCTCCTTCCCTCCTTCCTTCCTTCTTTTGTTCTTTCCTTCCTTCCCTCCCTCCCTCCATCCTTCTTTCCTTCCTTCCTTCAACATTTATTGAACACCTACTGTATAGGGCAATGTGTGAGGCATTGAGGGGGAGAATATAGTCTCTTTCTGGTCTCCTTGGGTCTCCTGAGCTAAGCCATCCTGGAAGTGCTGGAACTCCTTATGGGCCTGATTTCACTGCTGATCATCATGGGAGCTTTGACCCACTCTTACTGATGTGGACCAGTTTCCTCTCCTTGGGCAATCTGGTGGTCCTCCAGTCTTCAATGCTGGGTAAATGCAGATACTTGATTGTCTTAACCCTATTGCAGTT